CAGACCAGTTCATCTATGAAATAATTTTGGGCCCACACGTTATATCTGATAGAGCAGATTTATGACCTAGCAAGTCAGATTGATGTCTAGTTTAGTTGTACACATCATGATCTGGGACCGCTCGCAGTGAACTCATTTACTGTAGGAAAGATAGGGACACCCAGTAACCTGGCAGTAGCCAGATTGATATGTGTAGAACTGAGTTGAGTTCCACTTCAATCTGGGATGGCTGCTGTTCAGTCTGTCTATGAAAAGGATTTTAGTTCAATACTTCAAGCTGATTGGGTGACGTGCCTGCAAGTATCTGCCTTCCATTATACGCTTTCAGCTGATCGTAGCAGCGAATCGTGACGTTTCGTAAGCTGATAAATCAAAGCACAGACATCTTTACCATCTGCAAATGCACAAAGTGCTTCTTTTTGGCCCTTTTTAAACAAGAAATTGTCGCTATTTTAGCTAAAACTGAGTCAATTGCGGCATTTTAATGTTGAGGCCCATATGGCTCTGGAGGCTCCTGGATTTAAACACATAGAGTTGCTAGTTCGGTATAAACCATGTACACCCCTAAAAAAAAATCTTCAACTGACACCAACCATCTGAAACAGATGTACAGTAACGGATAGTTTTGTAAATTGGAACAGAAAATTCAATTGCAGGGTTTCCATATTCAAAGATTGCCCTATAGTTTCTTCAAGATGTTAGCTTTTTACTTGCATAAATATGATATTTCTTAGAGTGTGTTTATGTCCAAGTATTTTATCCTTTGTGTTTTGATTTATGAATTTCCATTAGTTTTTTCTGCTGTAAGGAACTATAAATGGCGCGTAGTGAAACGTGCTGAACACAAACTTCTCTTGCCAGGATCAATGTAATTCACCCAACATGCAGCGGTCATTATGTTACGCCTGATGACATAGGCCCTGTCACAACAATAACACTTTCACCTTTTTGACCAGATGTCAGCTGATCACACATCTGAGCGAACCTTATCAAAGTACATCACCACAACTCATTTCTTATTGAGCAAAAATTTTTGTTTTCTAAATTAAGTTTTTAATTAATTCTCTTTTTACTATGTAGTACATTAGTGAATACAAAACCATTACGTGCTGTCGCTTTGAGATGTTTAAGTGTATGATTACAAAAGTAGTGATGCCATAGTTTTGATGCGCAGTGATGACACAGATTACAAGTTATCAATTTCACATATTCTTTTCCTGGCCATATACTGACTCAAGCCACGTGTCTTCAATTACACTTTTTTTTTCAATCCCAGGAGGTTTTTACCAAGACTTTTGCCAAGCAAAATGAGGAGCATTTACAACAGAGTATGCAGACACGATCATTCCTCCAAGTTACTCAGCAGATGAGTCAACAAGTGCAAGTAAAAATGTACAAGTCACCCATGAATGCTGAATCCTCCAACAGGAAATCTGGTTTGCAACATGACAAGCAGCTGTAGAAAATCAAGTATAATGAGAATCCTGCATGGAGGGAATCACCATTAACCTTGGCCGAACCACAGTGTCAAAAATGCAAGAAGAATGACTCAAACAGCTGAAAGACACCATTAATGGCTTTGTGTCAAACGAAGGCAGCAGAGCAGGTTGCAACATGTTGCTTTTTTACCTGCTCACAAACTTACTCCAACAAATAGACAGAGCCCACCCTAAACAATACGCATGAGCGGCTGCCTTTTGGTCTCTGTAAAAAAAAAAACTATGTGAAAAAAGATGAACCCCCCCCCCCACACACACACCATCCGCCTTTAAAAAGTTATGCAACTAAAAGTTTTCCATGTCAGATAGAGTCACACTTGGACAATAGTGCACATAAGCTGCAGTTTCCAAAACAGGATTCCAACTGTCAGGGAGATTTGTTGACAGGGATCTCCTTTCTTCCTGCCAATTCCAACGTCTGAATGCTACAAACCAGACTTTTATGTCAACTCAATTAAAATACCTTTGGAAGTACTTTGTGATCTATAGAGCAACCCGTTATGATTTCGTTATTAATAGCAAATTGTTCAGAAATCGGTTATGAATTTTACCCAAAAATTGTCCATGTAACATCACATAAGATCAGAGGTTTTTATTCATTTCAAAACATATATTTGCACCTTTTTAAATTTCCTGTCTTTTTTTTTTAAAGCAAATCTCCAATAAAAATGTAATTTGTTTAGCTGCAAAAACAAGAAAATGCAGTATTTCAGAACCCTGCATTCATTTCTGTGAGGAAGACAAGTCTGCCGTTTCATCTTTAAAAAAGCATTTTCCCCAATCTGATCTCCAATGTCGGTGTCTGACATCATTTTTGGATTAGGCGTCGACTTGAGGTCACCGATCAAAAGTCATGCATGTTGCAGCAGGACATACTTTGTTTGTTTTCTTTATTTTCAACCCACTAACCATGAAGCATACAGAATCTGAATATGTTGACAGTACACTGACTTAAACCCACTTCTTTCAATGTTTAGTGTAAATTAACGGTTCTTATAGCGTCTTTCATGCTTTTAAATATCGAAAGGGTTTTGTTGCAGAAAGCCTTGTATGATTGAATGATAGTTGCAGGTGTATTTGTTGCTTGCTGTGGAAACTAACCTTAAAGGGGTCATAGAATGCAAAACCAAGTTTACAGAGTATGAAGTGTCGACTGCTGGGCCGCTGACTGGACCAGACCTGAGCAGAGAGCTTTGAGCCGCAGGCAGCAGGAAGCACGGGGCCGCATGTGTCCAGGCTACAGTCACTGGGTTGGGTTTGGTCGCTCCGTCCCCCACTGGCTCCCTGACCCCGCTCGGGTTCCCGGAACAGCCCTGGAGCTGATGGCTCGGATCGAGTGCCCGATGTGCTTAGACTATCTGCTGCACTGTGGTCGACCAAAATCCCGGACAATTTTGAAATCCCCCGCGGACATTTTTTAGGTATGAACATGTCTGGGAAAAAGAGGACGTCTGGTCCCCCTACCATATCAACAATTTGATGCTTCAGTAAGTGAGTGCTTGTTGCTATGATTTGTCTTTGCTCAGCAGCTTCGCTCGTAAACCAACCAATCAGCGCACAGCTCATCTAAATATTCATGAGCATCCCATAAAATAAATTTAAGAAAAACCTGCCGCTTCATTCTGGGGTTTTAACCAGGCTTGCATTAGGGCTCATAGAACAGCAAATATACCATTTTCAGCCCAACCAATGTTACACACCCTATTCAGAGACCTTACAGACCAGCACCTATACCCTAAGTTAAATGACCCCTTCAATTAATCGGACAATACTCTGGGTAGGAAACGACTGGTTTTAAAGGATGTTTTTTTTTTTTTAAATCAAAACATTCACAATTGAAACAAATTGAAAAAAAATTCTATCCAGCCTACAGCAAAAAAAAATTCTTTAGACTGTTTAAAATTATTGCCACAGAACATCTGAACAGATATTGAAAAATATGAGGGCTGAAACAATCAGAGTAATCGTGATTAATTGATTATTGAAATAATAATCAACTTATTTAGTAATCAATTAATCGTTAACTGGAGCGTAGAGGAATCATTAGTTGCAGCCCTAAACAAGATAAATGGGAAATGGGTGGAAAGCAGGTTTTAGCAGGGGCAGAGCTATATGGGGGGCCAGGGGGGCCATGGCCACCCTTAGCCAATCATTGGCTACCCCTTTGGCCATCCCTACCATTTTTTCCCTCTAATACAGACAGTGGCAGCAGTAATACCCTAAAGGGGAATATTCAAGATTATTAAATATTGAAATATTTCATATATTAACGACTTGACAACAGAAACCCTGGTTAGTTATGCACATGGATATACAAACATTAAAGATGATAGATACAGAATTTATACTCTTTTCTGAACAAAATTTTGAATTATTTGGGGTAAAGTTAAAATGATGTGCCTCCGCAAGTCATCTAGGAGGCTTCATTAAAATCATAGATAAAAAAAAAATACTTTAATAAAAATTCATTAAAATGTGGATATTAGTAGATTTATATAATTTTTTTCCTGCAGAATGATTATCGATAAAGTTAGCTAATAACAATGTGAAATATGTTCGTCCCAGTCGTCTTTATTTAGAAAATATGGATGTTGTAATTGTTCCTGTTGGAACGGTGTAGATTAACCCTGAGGTTCTGGTGCCTTTCGACCACCCCTCAGTGTTCGGCCACCCCACATTGGGATTTTCTGGCTACGCCTCTGACTAAAAGATATAAAAGCATTCCTGGCTGACTGTCTTTTTTGATGTTCTCAACTCAAATAAACACAAGTAAGATCACCCCCCCCCCACCCCCCCAATCTCTATTTCATCACTCAGCTGGGGGGGTCTCTATTTGAATCTATCAGTTGTGTTTTCCCTGTTATATATTTGTTTATTTTAAATAATAAACACAACTAGATAGCAGATTTTGAAATAAATTATTGTAGTGAGATGATTTTGAAAGAGGAATGGATATTTGGAAAAAAAATTAAATAAAAGCAGACACTCCACACAAATCCACTCCTACATTTGGATACAGTTACAGGATACTCTCGCAAGAAACAAATCTCATACATGAGATAAAATATCAGGGAGTTTTACTGAGAACAAATGATCCAAGTACCTCCCACATCAAGATTCAGTACTATTCAGTGCTGAGAAGGATAGAAATATTATGTTTGGCTTGTCTGAACAAGATAGAGGCTATTAAAAAAATAGATGTACCAACTACATACTTTTTGGGCTTTAAAGTGAGCCCCTTATCTTGGAGCAAGTTGTTTGACCTCTAACAAAACAATAAATCAAATGCCTGTTGAGCAATCCTGTGTGCGTCATCGGACAATAATCGCCAAATCTGGAAGAGCAGATTTTATCCAGTTTTTTTTTTCTGTCTTTTTTTAAGTTATACTCATTTGTTGACTATGTTTATTGAAATTCGTGCAAAAAATGAAGCAGTATGAAGCCGATCCAAACTGCAGCTCCTGATTAATAAGAAAGGGAAAGCGAAATGCGGCTACTCACCAGCAAACACGCAAAGAACATCCACCACGATGAAGATCAGCTTTTTCTTGTGCTCAGTCATGTTTTCTCCAGCGCTGCCCCGCTTTCTGAACTGGAGCCCGGCGGTAAAAACGCAGGCGGACTGGGAGGGAGGAACACCTGGTTTAAGGGGCTGTGCGTAAAAATGAGAATGATGTTTCTTTTCTATAAAGAGGGTTGGATTAAAGCGTCCAGCTGGTTCTTCCGGCTTCGCTGCTCTATACCTGCTCTCCTGTCCGTTCCCCTGACTGACTGACTGACTGGCTGGCTGGCTGATTGTTGGCTGTTTCAGGTGCGCATTTGTGTCCGGCCTCCACAGCGGGGCGCGGCTCTCAGCGCGGGAGGATTCAAACCATTCAAAGCAATCATTTAATTTTAATCTGAACTCAAATTGTGTCTTCAAAAAGGTAAAATATTAAGATTCTACACTTTTTTTTTTTTCCACTTCTATAAAAAATATTCTGAAATAGTCATGAAAGACACTGGTTTTAGGGCTGCTCAGTGGCCTGCAGCAGGAAGGTTGCAGGTTTGATACCCGACTCGGGGTCTTTCTGCATGGAGTTTGCATGTTCCCTGAGCATACATGGCGTCTCTCCAGGTACTCCAGCTTCCTGCCACAGTCCAAAAACATGACAGGTTCTCTAAATTCTCCCTAGGTGTGAGTGTTTACCTGAATGGTTGTTGTCCTAATACTGATCCTCC